TTTTTTTTCTTGTGATATTTGTAATCCACAATTTCTTTTATTTATTTTTTTATTATACTTTTAAGTTCTGGGGTACATGTGCAGATCATGCAGATTTGTTACATAGGTATACAGGTGCCTTGGTGGTCTGCTGCACCCGTCACCCATCCCTGTCATCTACATTAGGTATTTCTCCTAATGTTATCCCTCCTCAATCCCACCACCCCCTGCTATCCCCCCCAGCCTCCCCACCCCCACTGCCACAGGCCCCGGTGTCTGATGTTCCCCTCCCTGTGTCCATGTGTTCTCATTGTTCAACACCCTCTTATGGGTGAGAACATGCAGTGTTTGGTTTTCTGTTCTTGTGTCAGTTTGCTGAGAATGATGGTTTCTAGCTTCATCCATGTCCCTGTAAAGGACATGAACTCATCCTTTTTATGGCTGCATAGTATTCGTTGGTGTATATGTGCCACATTTTCTTTATCCAGTCTATCATTGATGGGCATTTGAGTTGGTTCCAAGTCTTTGCTGTTGTGAACAGTGCCACAATAAACATACGTGTGCATGTGTATTTATAATAGAATGATTTATAATCCTTTGTGTATATACCCAGTAATGGGATTGCTAGGTCAAATTGTATTTCTAGTTCTAGATCCTTGAGGAATTGCCACAGTCTTCCACAATGGTTGAATGATACTCCCACCAGCAGTGCAAAAGTGTTCCTATTTCTCCACATCGTCTCCAGCATCTGTTGTCTCCTGATTTTTAAATGATCACCCATCTAAATGGTGTGAGATGCATATCAATATGGTTTTGATTTGCATTTCTCTAATGACCAGTGATGATAACCTTTTTTTCATGTTTGTTGGCTGCATAAATGTATTCTTTTGAAAAGTGAAAGATAAACGAAATTTTTTAAATGCCTTTTTGAAAGATAAACAAAATTTTAAAACCTTTATCTAGACTAAGGAATAAAATGAGAGAAGACCCAAATAATTGAAATCCGAGATGAAAAGAGTTATTAAAACTGATAACACAGAAAAACAAGGTTTCACTAGAAGCTATTATGAACAGCTATATGCCAGAAAATTGGAAAAACTAGAAGAAATAGATAAATTTCTGGGCACATATAACTTACCAAGATTGAACCACGAGGAAATAGAAAACTTGAACAGACCAATAACAAGTAATGAGATTGAAGCAGTAAGAAAAAGTCTGGCATCAAATAAAAGTCCGAGACCTGATGGTTTCACTGCTGAAGAAAAACTTACACCAATTATACTGAAACTATTTAATATTTCAAAAAATTGAAGAGAAAAGAATGCTTCCAAACTCATTCTACAAGACCAGTATTATCCTAATACCCAAACCAGACAAGGACAAAACAACAACAAAAAGCAAACTACAGGCCAACATCCCTGATGGATATAGATGCAAAAATCCTCAACAAAATACTTGCAAACTGAATTCAACAACACATTAAAATGAGTGTTTGTCATGCTCAAGGGGAATTCATCCTATATGGAAATCAATAAATGTGATACACCACATTAACAGAAGGAAAGAGAAAAACCATATACTTATTTTAATGGCTGTCGAGAAAGCATTGAATAGAATTCAACACCACTTGATAAAAACTACCAACAAATTGGGTTTAAAAGGTGCATATCTCAAAACAGTAAATGTTATATATGACAAACCCACAGCTAATATTATACTGAATGAGAAAAAATTGAAAGCCTTTCCTCTAAGATCTGGAACAAGATAAGTATTCCCACTTTCACCAATTCTATTAAATGTAGTCCTGGAAGTCCCAGATGGAGCAATTAATCAAAGGGCCTTCAAATTAGAAAGGAAGAAGTCAAATTCCCCTTGTTTGTAGATGATATAATCTTATATTTAGAAAAACCTAAACACTCCACCAAAAAACTGTTAGAACTGATAAATAAATTCAGTAAAGTTGCAAGATACAAAACCAACATACAAAAATCGTTAGCATTTCTATATAACAAGAGCTAACAATCTGATAGAAAAATCATAAAAGCATTTTCATTTACAATAGCTATAATAAAAATAAATATCTAGGAATAAATTTAACCAAAGAGATAAAAGATCTCTATACTGACAAATGTAAAACACTGATAAAAGGAACTGAAGAAGACACACAAAAAATGAAAAGGTATCTAGCCTATGTTCATAGAATGGAAGCATTCATATTGTTAAAATATCAATTCTACAAGATTTAATGTAATACCTATAAAATACCAATGAAATTTTTCACAGAAATAGAAAAAGCAGTCTTAAAATTTGTACAGAACCACAAAAGACCCAGATACGGCTTGGCTATGTCCCCACCCAAATCTCATCTTTAATTGCAGTTCTCATAGTCCCCACATGTCGTGGGAGGGACCCAGTGGGAAGTGATTGGGTCATGGGGGCAGTTTTCCCCAGGCTGTTCTCGTGATAGTGAGTGAGTTCTCATGAGATCTGCCACTTTGTGAAGAAGGTGCCTTGCTTCCCCTTTGCTTTCCACCATGATTGTTAAGTTTCCTGAGGCTTCTCCAGCAATACGGAACTGTAAGTCAATTAAATCTCTTTCCTTTATAAATTACCCAGTCTCCAGCAGTTCTTTATAGCAGCATGAGAACAGACTAATAAAGTAAATTAGTACCAAGGTAGGGGGGTGCTGCTATAAGGATACCTGAAAATGTGGAAGCAACCTTGGAACTGTGTAACAGGCAGAGGTTGGAACAGTTTGGAGGGCTCAGAAGAAGACAGGAAAATGTGGGAACATTTGGAACTTTCTAGAGACCTAGAGGGCTCAGAAGAAAACAGGAAAATATGGAACAGTTTGGAACTTCCTAGAGAATCATTGGATAGCTTTTACCAAAATGCTGATAGTGATAATGGACAATGAAGTTCGGACTGAGGTAGTCTCAAATGGAGATGAGGAACTTGTTGGGAATAGGAATAAAGGTGACTCTTGCTTTAGCAAAGAGATTGGCGGCATTTTGCCGCTGCCCTAGAGATCTGTGGAACTTTGAAGTTGAGAGAGATGATTTAGTGTATCTGGCGGAAGAAATTTCTAAGCAACAAAGCATTCCAGAACATAAAAGTTTGAAAAATTTGCAGTCTGATGATCCAGTAGAAAAGACAAACCCATTTTCTGGGGAGAAATTCAAGCCAGCTACAGAAATTTGCATAAGTAATGAGGAGCCAAATGTTAATTGCCAAGACAATGAGGAAAATGTGTCCAGGGCGTGTTAGACACCTTCCCAGCAGCCCCTCCGATCACAGGCCTGGAGGCCTAGGTGTGAAAAATGCTTTTGTCGGGCGGGTCCAGGGCCTCCCTGCAGTGTGCAGCCTGGGACTTGGTGCCCTGCATTCCAGCCACTCCAGCCATGGCTAAAAGAGGCCACGGTACAGTTTGGGCTGTGGCTTCAGAGGGTGCAAGCCCCCAGCCTTTGTTCTGTTGGTGCACAGAAGACAAAAATTGAGGTTTGGGAACCTCCGGTTAATAAAAGAATGTATTAACCACAGGGTAGGAAAAGAAAGAATTGACATCAAGATACAAAAAGCACTAGCCAGTAAGGATTTTTTTTATAAATGCCACACATTAAAATTACAACTTCATATTCATCAAAACATAACGGAAAACAATGAAAAGATTAGCCACAGAATGGTAAATGTTTGCAATACATAACACAAAGGACACCCATTTCAAGGATATATAGAGTACTCTTTTGCTTCAATGAGAAAAAAAGTAGGTTGTCCAAGAGAAAACGTAGCAGAAAAAATCTAGGACAGGTGCTCCACAAAAGAGGAAATCCAAATGACTACTACTCATAAGAAAAGATGCTCAACTTCATAGAACATCCAAAAATGTAAAAACACAGTCAATACCAGGTATTTGTAATAATGTGGAGCAAATGGAATTCGCATACATTGCTAAGGAAAATGGAAAATGGTGCGGCTACTTTGGAAAACAGTGTGGCAATACCTACCAAAGCTGAACACATGCCTACCTAGCAATTCCACCCTTAGATATGTGCCCACCAGAAATGCACATATATGTTCACCAAAAGATATACACCAGAATATTCTAGCAGGCCCATCTGAAAGTGCCAAAAATTATAATGACTCAAATGTCCATGATTGGGGTATATTTTTATAATATTATACAATAATGGGAATGAACAAACTATAGCCACATACAGCAATATAGATGAATCTCACAACCAGAATGCTAAGTGAAAGAAGAAACAAAAGAACATATACAGACATTTTATTTACACACTTCAAAAACAGGCAAAACTAAACTATATTTTTTAAGGATGTATACATAACTGGTAAAAGTATGAAGAAAAGCAAAGAAATGATTATCATAAACATCAGAATGGTGGTTACCTTCAGTGGGAAGGGAGAAAGTATGATTGAAAAGGGACATCCAGTGAGTCTTCTGGGTTGTTGGCAATGTTATTGACCTGGGTGATGACTGCATTTTTGTACCAAAGGCATTTGTGTTTTATGCACTTTATTGTATATGTTTTAGTTCACAATTTTAATAGGGTTTTAAAAAGACATTCAATAAAGGATGCTGGAAAATGTTTATAGCCATATGGACAAAACATTACATTGGAATCCTAACACATTTTTGTACCAAAGGCATTTGTATTATTGATCTGGGTGATGATTACATTTTTGTACCATTGGGCTCTCTTATATTTGGAGTATGTTTATAAATTCTACATTCATTCAACATTTGACAAATGTTTTTTGAGCTCCTGCTTTTTGCCAAGCACTGTTAAAGGTGCTGAGAATACAACAGTAAACAAAATAGACAAAACCCCAGCTTTCATGAAAGTTATATACTAATAAAGATTGGGAAGAGTATTTCAAGGAGGATGAAGTGGTTAACTATGCAAAATGCTTCTTATGCACCTAGGAAATTGAGGATGTGAGGCATTTCTAACCACTTGGTACATAAAATTATTGCTTTTCCTCTGCTTTTTTTTCTCCAGGGCTCACAGTGGCAGTGTCCCTCAGTTCAAGAAAGTGGTTTTCCAGGAATTTACTGATGGCTCCTTTACTCAGCCCTTATACCGTGGAGAACTAAATGAACATTTGGGACTCCTGGGGCCATATATAAGAGCAGAAGTTGAAGATAATATCATGGTGAGTTAAGGACAATGAAATTAGAAGAAAATCATTTTTTTTTTTTTTTTTTGACTGAGGCTTGGTCTGTCACCCAGGCTGGAATGCAGCGGCACAATCTTGGCTCATTGCAATCTCTGCCTCCTGAGTTCAAGCGATTCTCCTGTCTCAGCCTCCCGAGTAGCTGGGATTAATTTTTGTATTTTTAGTAGAGACGGGGTTTCGCCATGTTGGCCAGGCTGGTCTCGAACTTATAACCTCAGGTGATGCACCTGCCTCTGCCTCCCAAAGTGCTGGGATTACAGGCATAAGCCACCGCACCTGGCCAAGAAAATTAATCTTACATATTTATTTTCTTGCTGACTATAATGTATTCTCACTTTTGGAAATGTTTAAAGTGTAGAAAAATAATTCCATAATTATTTTTGTGTATGTTCTTACATTTTTCGTATGTATTTTTCTCTTTATGTATTCAAATTATACCATACAGAATACTGGTACTTGTTTTTTGACTAAATATCACATCAAAAACATTTCTTATGTCATTAGAAATACTTTCTATGTATGTTTTTAAAATACTGCATAATAGTCTATTATATAAACTCATGGAACCATAGTTTATGTAACCATTTATTTTGAACAACCTATTAGACAGTTTCTTTTTTCACTATATAAATAATGCTGTAATCATAACAGTTTTTCTAAGATAAAATTCCAGAAGTGCAATGTATATGAACATCTTAAGAGTTTTTCTTATTATCTGGTAATGTCCCTTGCACATTTGTCTTTCATGGACGAATTGCTTTTCTTATTAATTATATTAACTTATAGATTAGATAGGAAAGCACTGAACATTTTAATGAGAAGTACTTCTTCAAGTTTTTGTTTTCTCTAAATTTTATAAATGATGCTTTTTGAAATAAAACAGGTTTTAATTTTTAGGTAGCAACCCATTATTCTTTACTTTTTAACGCTTTCATTGCTTTTATGTTTGCAAAAATTTTTACGTATCCAGAGATTTTTTTAAAAACACCTATACTTTCTTCAACTTTCTGTTACAGTTTAATTTTTTACATTTAACTTTTTAATACTTCCTGTAGACTAAAAGTTATTTTGGTGCATTGTGTGAACCAAAGATCAAAGTAATTAATGTTTTTCTGAAAATAGCTATTCACTGCTTCAATTAATTGATTGTTTATATTAATGATACAGAAGGATCTAACATTATGGAATTGTGGGAAATTTCTGCCTTATTTTACTTTCCATATATTCTATGATAAATATGTACAATTTTTAATCTGGAAAATAAGCCTTTTTAAAAAAGATAATATGCATTCATTCTAGAATTTGTCATGAAGAACCTTAGCTTACATATCAACTCCGGGCATTATAGTCTCTTAAAACCCCTGCAGTGACATTTTCCCTTTTAGTTTGGAATTGCTTTTAAGTGTATAGGAATTTTCTCCTTTGCAACTTTGAGTTTGTGCCTTAAATTTAGAATTCAAAACCTCCTCAGGAGTAAGTTTGGGTTCTAACAGCATCCATCCTCTGTACCACTTCTTCCAGGGTATAAAAAACTTCGATAAAGACCAAAAGATAGGTGTTTCTTTTAGAGATGTAAACCCTAAGGACTTTACGATCCTAGAAGATTATTCTTGCTTTTTTTTGTTGTTATCGTCCTGCAGGTAACTTTCAAAAATCAGGCCTCTCGTCCCTATTCCTTCTATTCTAGCCTTATTTCTTATGAAGAAGATCAGAGGCAAGGAGCAGAACCTAGAAAAACCTTTGTCAAGCCTAATGAAACCAAAACTTACTTTTGGAAAGTGCAGCATCATATGGCACCCACTAAAGATGAGTTTGACTGCAAAGCCTGGGCTTATTTCTCTGATGTTGATCTGGTAAGCAGGTATCCATTGTGCTGACCACTTTTTGGTTTAAAAGAAATTGTCTTTTTGTGCTAAGAATTTTGGTATTTATCCTACATGCAATGAGAAGCTTTAAATAGGACAGTTGATCATCATATTTGTGTTTTAGAAAGGTCATTCTGGAATCTACTGAAGACGATGAATTATCTTTTTGGAAGATGGGAGGCAGGCTGGAGTGGCATAAAAATTCATGAGAAATCCACTCTGGTTCATAGGTGAGAGAGCTTATACTCATAGGATCGATGTCTTCCCTCCCTAGGAAAAAGATGTGCATTCAGGCCTGATTGGACCCCTTCTGGTCTGCCACACTAACACACTGAACCCTGCTCATGGGAGACAAGTGACAATACAAGAATTTGCTCTGTTTTTCACTATCTTTGATGAGACCAAAAGCTGGTACTTCGCTGAAAACATGGAAAGAAACTGCAGGGCTCCCTGCAATGTCCAGATGGAAGATCCCACTTTTAAAGAGAATTATCGCTTCCATGGTAATATATTCCACATCCAGACATGACCACTGCGAAATGCAGATTGCACTTTGACAAATGAGATTTGATCCAGAGACTTGAACATTGTATTTATTTAGAGTATAACTGTGGGAGTGGAATTCTCATAGATGTCAGTATTTTTGGTGGAGTGGAGGGAAAGAAACTTCTATAATAGATTTTAACAGGCTTTTCTGTGTCCTTCTCCAGCAATCAATGGCTACATAATGGATACACTACCCGGCTTAGTAATGGCTCAGGATCAAAGGATTCGATGGTATCTGCTCAGCATGGGCAGCAATGAAAACATCCATTCTATTCATTTCAGTGGACATGTGTTCACTGTACGGAAAAAAGAGGAATATAAAATGGCAGTGTACAATCTCTATCCAGGTATGAGCTCATTTGTGCTCTTTCTTCTACCTACTTTATTTGTTCAGTACTTACTTTAAATGGTCTAGGCACTGGGAACACAATCAGTGAACAAAGCAGACAAGCTCCATGCTCTCAGATAACACTTTTTCAAACCTACAGGGAGATAAATAAATTAGCAAACGAAGGCCATGCGTGGTGGCTCATGCCTGCAATCCCAGCACTTTGGGAGGCTGAGGCAGGAGGATCACAAGGTCAAGAGATTGAGACCATCCTGGCCAACATGATGAAACCCCGACCCTACTAAAATACAAAAAATTAGCCTGGCATGGTGGCGCATGCCTGTAGTCCCTGCAACTCTGGAAGTTGAGGCAGGAGAATCACTTGAACCAGGGAGGTGGAGGTTACAGTGAGCTGAGATCACACCACTGCACTCCAACCTGGTGACAGAGCAAGACTCCATCTCAAAATAATAATAATAATAATAATAATAATAAATTAGCAAATTAACAAGATAAATTCAGATATAGAAAAATTACTAAAAAGGAAGTCGAACAGAATAAATGGATAATTAATGTCACTTTACTTTCTTACGGAAAAGGAATTTATTCCTTTATCACTTACCACCTCAAATCCCATAAGGCACCAGTAGTCATCCAAAGAGTGATTTGTTTATGTATGTAGCCAGTATATTGATTAAACACTACTCATAATGTTGGTCACGATACAATTTTATTTTGGTTCTCCACTGCCCTTTTAAAATAGGCTTGGCCAGGTGTGGTGGCTCACGCCTGTAATCCCAGCACTTTGGGAGCCCAAGGTAGGAGGGTCGCTTGAGGCCAGGAGTTCAAGACCAGCCTGGGTGACAAAGCAAGATCCTTGTCTCTACAAAAAATAAGTAATTAGCCAGGCATGTGGTGTTCAGTTACTTGGGTGGCTGAGGCGGAAGGATTGCTTGAGCCCAGGAGGTTGAGGCTGCAGTGAACTATGATGGCAGCACTTCACTCAAGCCTGGACAACAGAGCCAGACCCTGTCTCTAAAAAAAACTCCGGTTTAATAGTGGGAGTAAACTTCCCGTTTTGCTTTGTAAAAATTCTGATAAGCCCTGTAACTTTTCTGCTCACTCTTAGTAATAAACAGGACTAAAGTCACTGTATGTCACAAATACAGTTCAAATCAGAAACTACAATGTCCACTCCAAGATATTAATCAAAATTCTGAACTTGATTTAACTTCAATCTCCCCTCCTTCAACTTGAGCCTGCGTCAGGCTGGAAGTCTGCACTGGGAAAGGGAGACATGGTTGAGTCCTCTCTTTCTGTACCTTGTGATGGTCGTGCTTCCCCACAACCCCTTGCTAGCTGCTGTTTTGAACTCCAGCACGAATAGGTTAAAAGTAAGGGGTTAGGACAGTTCTTACCTATTTACAACTGACACCATTGTTGTAAACCAGCTTCACACTGTTTGTGCCTGGCAATACTTAAAGTTGACTCTTTCTCCTGCAGGGCACTTTCTCGGGGCTCTTTAGAGACTCCCTTATGTGACTCTGTCATGAAATCCCCTTGACCTGGTTTCATCCACCTTTATTCTGGGTGGTCACTTGTGACTCATTTCTCAGCCCTCAGTGTTCACCTGTAGCTTCTTGTTGCTGGGGTAACTTTACCCCTCTAGGAAGCCCTAGTGGACTGAATCCAGTAGGAACTCACCATGACTTATCTCTTTCAGAGTCTACATCTGGCCAATGGGAAACACACCTTTTGCTCAGAAAATCCCTGGGAGTGTAGGTCAACCATAATGCGGTAGCATTCTCTTTTCCCCACCATCAAAGAATTCAGTCACGCTGTTTCTCATTTCCCGGTGGGGAAGGGAGTGGTCAGAACTCAATTTCCATGACCCCGAACTGTAGAGGTCATGTAGCAAGCACTTTGGGTTTGAGGGGTCCAAGAGTAGTGGAACTACAAAATTTGGTAGGTCTCCTCTGATATTTCACATAAACCAATGTATCTCATGCTCATTTTTTAATGAAAAGAAATAATTTTTGTTCCTTTTGGTTTTTATAAGGTGTTTTTGAGACAGTGGAAATGTTACCATCCAAAGCTGGAATTTGGCGGGTAGAATGCCTTATTGGCGAGCACCTACATGCTGGGATGAGCACACTTTTTCTGGTGTACAGCAACAGTGAGTAGCAATGTGGTCAGAGGTTCCCTACCTACTCAGCCTACTTCTTTACAGCTTTCCTCCTTTCTGGAATGGTTGCTTGTGTCCGGAAATAAATACAAGCTTACATCCTTATCAAGTTTAAAATGAATATTGCTGGTAGAAATCATCAGAGTTGTCAGAGGAGGGCAGATATACTCGAAGTTTTGAAAACTTTGAACCTGAAGCTCTAAATAATTGACCCCCCAAAAATCCCTCATTTTCACAACTTGGTAAAGCTCTAAGATCTCTAGTAGCAGATTTTGGAATTTAATGTTGATTTAGTTACCAGATAACTTATAAATATTACTTGGAAGAGTTTGGAGATTTAAACCCTAAACAAATAAGAGAACCACTGGTCTATTTATGTATGGACCCCAGTTTCTTCAGCTGTAAAATGTGAATCATTGTAGCACCTGTTAGGATGAATCAAATGAACTAATACAGTAAAGCATTTAGTACAGTTCTTGGCACATATAAGCACTAAAAAATATTAGCATGTTGACATTCTCCCATTTTCACTGACTTATATTAGAGAAGTTGAATTTTGTGCACTTATAGTTACTGTGTTCCACCTGTTTCATTTCAGAGTGTCAGACTCCCTTGGGAATGGCTTCTGGACGCATTAGAGATTTTCAAATTACAGCTTCAGGACAATATGGTAATTACTATTATTTTTGCCCCAAGAACCTGGGCTGATTATATCTTTTTAAATGATCTGTTGGAGAATCTCAGATAATGAATCCATCTCCATGCTTCTATTAGTTCTATTCCATAAGTGCCTCTCAAAAATATCTCCTCCTCTCCACTTCCCACTGTTGTAGCCATCTTAATTCAGGCCAACATCATTTCTTACCTGGGCAATGACACTGCCTCCTTAAATATCTTCCCTACCTTCAGTATTTCTTCCTTGAGTCAATCCTCTTCATTGTAGCAGGAAGCTATACTTTCCTATGAGCACTAAAGGTAAAGTTTGACTAGGGTCTACAGAGAGTTCTCAAAAATTGTTTTAGAGCACTACTGCCCACAAGCTAAATGTAGCACACTGCCTGTTTTTGTATGGCATGTGAGCTATTAACAGATTTTCCATTTTTAAATAATTGAAAAAATTGCAAAGATTATTTCATGACATGTGAAATTATAAAATTCAAATTTCAGCATCCATGATAAAGTCTTATGTTGGAACACAGCCACATCCATTAATTTACATACCGTCTATGGCTACAACAGCAGTTACACAGCTGCAACAGAGACCATATAATATGCAAAGCTATCTGGCCCTTCACAGAAAAAGTTTGCCAACCTATGTTTTATTGGGGTAAAAAATCCCCTTGAAAAAGAGGCTTAAGAGTTATATACCAAAATAGTAACATTTTTCACTAGGTGGAAGGGTTACATTTTAAAATTTTTATTTATCTTTTTACTTATTTTTATTTTTACTTTTCATTTCTGATTTTTCTACAATGAACATACATTGTATAATAAAGAAATAATAGGCCAGGCATGGTGGCTCACAAGACTCCTGGTCAGCTGCAGTGGGCTCACACCTGTAATCCCAGCACTTTGGGAGGCCAAGGCAGGCAGATCACCTGAGGTCAGGAGCTCGAGACCAGCCTGGCCAACATGGTGAAACCCCGTCTCTACTAAAATACAAAAATTAGCTGGGTATGGTGGCGTGTGACTGTAGTCCCAGCTACCTGGGAGGCTGAGGCAGGCGAATTGCTTGAACTTATGAGGCGGAGGTTGCAGTGATCCAAGATCATGCCATTGCACTCCAGCCTGGGCGACAGAGCAAGACTCCATCTTAAAAAAAAAAGAAAAAAGAAAATAAAAGAAATAATAATATTATTATTTGGTAGTGCTGGTAACAAATTGCAGTATCAGCTAATTCAAGGTGCTAACAATTAACAAAATTATAAATTTTAGAAAATAAAATGAACAACAAAGATAAGCAAAATCCTTAGATAGTAATTGTTACTGGTATGCCATAAAGCCTTTATGCTTTTACTCTCAGGTGTCTAGGCTGAATTGAATTTAATTTAATCTCTGTTTCTTTACTTGGGCAAAGGACAGTGGGCCCCAAAGCTGGCTAGACTTCATTACTCCGGATCAATCAATGCCTGGAGCACCAAGGAGCCCTTTTCTTGGATCAAGGTTAGAAAATTTAATCAGTGATGGACAATGTATCACATTCAATCAATCGCATTACTTATTCCTATTGTAAACTCAAAGAATTCTATGAATATGAGAAAATTGAAGAACAGAATGGCTTATGATTTATACAAAAGCAGTCATGAACAAGAGATATGGGAATAGAATTGAGTATACTGATATATCCTATTTCTGTATTTTAGTCCTTCTACTGGGATTAGAACATCTGAATATTTTCTATAATATTGAACTCGTCATCTCTCAAGACAGTATACGTTATTATTAGATGCTTCCAACTGCCCAGGTGTCCTAAAGTCCTCCAATCCCCTTTATTTTAACATAAAACAAATGGTTCACAAATGCAAACCACATGTGTAATTTTACATTTTCTAGTAGCCAAGTTTTCAAAAATGTGACATTCACTTTAATAATACATTTTATTTAACTCAACATATCTGAAAATACTATCATTTCAACATATGATAAATCAGACCCCTTCAAGGACAGACAGATGGAAACTTTATGGTGTCCTCCATGCCTCACAAAAGCTGAGGGCAGCTTGGAAGTGCCTACTCAGCCTCTCTGCCTAAACATTAGGCTAGATGTCTTCTAGAACCCCAAACAGGAAATGGAGAAAACATTTGGGTTTCCGTCTTTGCAAATAACATGTCTATTAATGCCACAGCATTGTTTTACAGACACTGCCAATTTTGACTCAATCCGAGCTGCATTTCACTAATCCCTAAGGATTTTTTGTTTCTTTATGCTTCTGCCAAACCACATGTTATGCTCTTCACCTTGTATTTCTGTGGTTATTTTCAACCTTAAATGTGTCCCTATGTAGAGGACATGTTTATCTATTTGGCTGCCCTGTGTCTGTTCCGTTTAATTTTTTGTAATAACATTCTTATTTGTGAGGGGGGAATTATATCTCCCTTACTAGATACAATCTAATAAGACTAGTAAATAGAGTGTCCTGTGACTAGCCAATGAACCCTGAAGGATACACCCTGTTGTTTCCACTTACTAGATTTGGCCCATTGTTTCAGCTTGCCAATCTTCAGTATCCCAAAGTATTTCCTAGTTTTTCCAGCTACTGATTTGATCAGTAAACTCGGTAATACTACAGCAAAGTCATAATCAAAATATTGAAGTAGACAAGACTTCCTTAGTATGTGCACAATACAAATCAAGCTGTTAAGTCCTTATCACAACCTTGTGATGTAGATGTTACTATTGTCCTCATTTCAGATAATGAAATTGAAGCATAGAGAAGTTATTGTGGCCCAAGTCACACCGCTAATAAGTGACTAACCCAAAATTCAAATTCTGATAGTTGGGCTCCAGAGCCCTAATTGGTAATCTTTGTACTACACTGTTTCTGGAATGCTCCCTTTAAGTTGATAACCATCTATTAACTATCACTATTTACTTATGGTAATTAAACCAGTTACAAATCCACCTAATTATGTTATCATCTACCAGTATTAAATCGCCTTATCTTCAAGGTGGTTTTTGCCAACTGTCCTACTAAGATCCAGCTAAACTTTTTGTATATCTCGTAACTTTATAAAATAAAGCATGGAGACGGAGTTGAAAGGGATGCTGACAAGCAAGGGAGTTGGAGAAGGCATTTGTTCTTGTGAGAAGGCCTGAAGAGTGCACAACAACCTGGCCTCAATGCACAAGAGCGCTGGGCTGATTTGAGGAGCACCAGGTGGCCAAGACCAGGCAATGCATAGGGGGAAATCAGCAGGCCCCATGGAGACATGCAGCTGCAATGTTGTACTTTTCTATGATGAAACTCATTACCATCTTGCCTACTTCCTAGTAGAGAGACGTGTCTTGTAGTTACACTGAAACACCTGGCTGGGTACATAGGTGAAGCTATTAAGTCTATAATTGCCAAACTGCTCCCAGGTGCCAATTACAATGTAGAAGAGGCACAAGAAGATGAAGCAGATAAGCCTGGTAGTTTGGCAAGCATTCATCAGTTGCACAATATAAGTAGGCTTCCAACGCTTTATTGTAGCCTTGTTCTATTGCAGCTTTATTCTAGCAAGGCTGCTGGAAGATACAATAGTCACTGGTCCAAGAAAGAACTCTTACACTGTATCCATATGAAGAAATGGTGCAAGTCAATTCAGTAAAAATCATGATTTTTGTGCCTGGTTCTTTCAGTTTTTTATGCCACAATACCAAGAGGTAAAATGAAGTGTCTTCAATGGGGAATACCATCTAATCTGGAAAAAGACAATGCTGCAACTTCTGAAGACCTTGACACTCTCTGTCCTGTTACCCTGCTTCATTTTTCTCCTGCACTTATCACTACTTGATGCTGTAAACAAATAAAAACATATATGATATAAGGTCTATTTTCCCTACTCGACTGTAAGTTCCATGAGGGCAGGGCTTTGTTTCTTGTTTATAACTCTATTCCCTGTATCTAAAACAGTCGTTAGCACATAGGAAGTGCTAAAAAAATTCTTTGAATGAGTGTATAAATGGAACTTACAGTCAGCTAAAGGAGACAGTTATTAAACACAAGAGTCATGACCAGTCCAATTTGTATGTGTCAGACATCTGTGAAAACATGCTAAATTTGACTTGCTTGTTAGAACACTAACTGATACTTCTAATGTTCTTGCAGTCCATGACCTCTTCTTTAAGAAGTGTCCATTCTGTACTACTGTTTCATTATTCACTCATTCATTCCAAAGCATTTGCTATACAGCAGTATTATACCAGATACCATTTTAGGTGCTGGGACTAGAGAGAATATAAACGCTAATATTGACTGAGTGTTTTGTATGCGCCAGGCACTGAACTCAGCACATTACATGTGCTCTTTAACCCTACGGCAACCCTCTGAGATAAAAACTAGTATTATCTTCACTTTACAGATAAATTGAGACACAGAAAGTTTAGGTCACTCAAATGGGTTCACTATCTTAAGTATCTAAGTCTAATAAGGAAAGCAGAAAAGCAAAGCAACCTTATAATATGATGCAATAATTTGCTATAAGGAAGTTATATATAAAGTGAAGTAGATGCATAGAAGCACCAGGAGAAAATAGTTTCTGAACTAACACTCAAAGGAAGTGTAGCAGTTCATCACTGACAGTGATGTTGGGGTGGGTCTGGTTTGGGGAGAGAGGAGGAAATTGGCTTTGGTGTGAGGCTGAGGTGTAGGCAAAGCATTAGCTTATATGAGTCCATTAGCTTATGTGAGTCCACAAAAGAGAGAGGGGGAAAGAGAGAGAGAGAGAGACAGAGAGAGAGAGAGAGAGAGTGTGTGTGTGTGTGTGTGTGTGTGTGTGTGTGTGTGTAGGAAATGGGGGCTCAGTGATTTGGTAGTGGTTTGGTTTGTCAAGAAGCAGGCTGGGAACTCAATAAGCATCTTCCTATTCATTTCTACTGTTTATCCCACAGCTTCACACACACATGCACATTTCAACATTGGTGACTGCTTCACTTGCACATCTAAGGTAATGATGGACACATCTGTAGCAATGTAAATTCTTTCTAAGCCAATAATTAGTTTTACATTTAAAAATAGGTTAAAATAGGCCAGGCACAGTGGCTGACACCTGTAATCCCAGCACTTTGGGAGGCCAAGGCAGGCAGATCTCCAGATCAACAGATCGAGACCATCCTGGCCAACATGATGAAACCCCATCTCTACTGAAAATACAAAAATTAGCTGGGCGTGGTGGAGCACACCTGTAATCCCAGCTACTTGGGAGGCTGAGGCGGGATAATTGCTTGAACCCAGGAGGCAGTGGTTGCAGTGAGCCGAGATCACACCACTGCACTCCAGCCTGGGCGACAGAGTCAGACTCCGTCTCAAAAAAAAAAAGTTAAAAAGTGTTGCTTTCATTGGTAGGTGGATCTATTGGCACCAACGATTATTCATGGCATCAAGACCCAGGGTGCCCGTCAGAAGTTCTCCAGCCTCTACATCTCTCAGTTTATCATCATGTATAGTCTTGATGGGAAGAAGTGGCAGACTTATCGAGGAAATTCCACTGGAACCTTAATGGTATGTAATTAGTCCTTTAAAGATAATGCCTGAATACTTCAAAGAATTTTGACAGATTTCAGATATTGGACAAACACTCTTCTACAAACTTAACTCCAAAAACTAATTTTTCACTTGTGAGCAATTGGAGTTATTATGGACATATCAACAAAAATGCAGTACTGTCAAGGCTCATAGATGATAGAAATGAAGAGATGCTATATTGACAGAAATATGTGGTTCAGGACTGTGTAAACTGATGATTGTGAGTTTGCTTATGGATATCCTACGTTTGTGGTTATAGTAGGACAATCAGGTTGAAATGTCCAGCAGGCCATAGGCGAAAGACAAGTTTAGGGGGCAAAACCATGGATGGAGATGAAGATTCATGACTTCCACATAAAACGATGGATGAAATTTAGGGAACTGATAAATTCTCTAGAGGTAAACTCAAGATCCCAAAAGGCTTAAAACCTTAGCATTATTGTCTACTCTTCCCTCATTTTTATATCCCCTGATGAATGGATCCACAAATCTGGTCAATCCTTTATTTGTAATGCCTCTCACATCTCTTTCTTCTGTTTCCATTTATACCACTGTTGCCACAGCCTGGGGTCCCATCACCACAGGCTTGATCAATTGTATTACATTCCTAACTAGCCTTCCCCTGTTTCTAATCTGTTCTCTAATAAAAGCTGCACATCATTTTCAGGATAATCATCAGTCCCCTGCCTAAAACCTTTCAATGTCTTCCTATTGTCTTCATAATAAAGTTCAAAGTCCTCAAGTGGCCCCAAGCAAGATAACTTTTGTTTGCCCCTTTAGATCTATTTTCCTGCTTCTCGTTCTGTGAGCTGACCTTGTATAGAATACATCAACAGGCTACCTTGTCCTCCAGCTTTTGGTTGGATTTTACCAACAGGAAGCACTGGCAAAAGACTGGCATATTTATTCTTCTGACTTCCTCCTTGTAGAAGAGTTCACTGTATCTCCCCACTTAAGGTCACTGCTTCCCTCAAAGTGGCTTTCTCTACCTGTACTAGTTACCATTGCTGTGTACCAAGCCACTTCAAAACTTAGTGTCATAAAAATTATGCTTTGTTCACAGATTCTATAGATCAAGACTTTGGGACACAGGAGGGGATGGGTGGTTTCTGCTCCACAATATCTGGAGCCTCAGTTAGGAATATTTAACAGCTGGGTGCTAGAATCATCTGGAAGTTCCTTCTCTTACTTTTCTGGTGGTTGGTACTGGCAGCTAGGACAGAATCTGGGGTTGTTGACTGATGTAACTTTACATGGATTTTCCTTGAGGCCTGGGCTTCCTTACAGCATGTTTCAAGATAGTTGAACTTTTTTTTTTTTTTTTTTTTTTTTTTTTGAGACAGAGTCTCACTCTGTTGCCCAGGCTGCAGTGCAGTGGTTCAATCTTGCCTAATACAGTAATTTCAGTCTTGATCACCTTCCTCTGGCATAGTGGTTCTCACACGTCTTTATGTCTTTGTGCCATTTACGTATAAAATATTCTTTGATAAGCAACATTTCCCCTTTTAGGATTACCTCATAATGGGGAGAAGGGGAGCCCCAACACTGTTAAAGGGTCACTGCTTCACTGGCAACATTCCCGACGGTTTACACTGTTTTAAATGTGAATTTGGAATTGTCGACGGACATTTAAATGACAAGGATCTTCCCCCTTCCCCCCCAAGCCCCGCCGCCCCGCAACCGGTTTTCACCGGTTGTCAAGTTAAAAATCAAACTAATCATGTCCTCTGAAAATATTTGCTTTTGCCATGCTAGAAATCAGTGTTGGCTTTTGATATTAAAGGGATGCATTACAAGAGAATTCTCAAAAATGCTGAAATTTGGCCTCAGGCCAGCTATCCCTGCTCTCAAGTTTCTGAGGGAGATACATGCATGAGCCCATGGCAAACGGAAAACGAGGAGTTTCCGTGTTTCCTAGAATTATGCTCAGATACCCAGTACCTAACCGTCTGGTTATTCTTCCCCTCACCTCCCTGATGCAAGGAGTTTGAACCAGAGGCCTAAGAAGGCTTCTCCTGAAGCCCAAAGCCAAAACTGGTCACCTGTCATGCGCTCCGTAACTCCCAAACCTGACAATAAGCCAGTCGGCCAGGTCTGAAGCCCGGGTTAAGAGGAGCACATCAGGAAGAAGCCAAAGAGCAAAGGAGTATAAACCCTTCAACCGCTTTTACAATAATTTGGGCTAGGTGTTTAGGGGCTCTGTAGGACCCTTCCTGGCAGCCAAATGAGAGTGAGAGGAAGGGTGGTGGAACGGGCCTCTCCTGTGCTTCCCATTACTTCCACACTGTTGAAATAGAAACGGAGGCAGAAAAGAACACCCTACAAGTCCCACCCGTTTTGAGGCACTTAACTCACAGTGACAAACCTCCACACCTCTCCCCTGCAAAAAGACTAAAACAAAACCATCTCCTCCAAACTGTGTCCTTACACCTCAGCCCTGCAGATCAGTATTGTGTGCAACTCCGGCTGAAAGGATGCATTTCCTCAGGGTTGAAAGTTTGAGAAAGAGGCTATATTCTGAAGAGTTCTTGTGTCACCCTCAAAAGGGTAAAAATGACGCAGTAAAGTACGAAAACAGCTTAGTTGGGTTGCATGCTCTGTTTGAGCCAGAAAGCCTGGGAAAGGTAACTGTTTTCAAATGGAACGCCATCCTGCTTTTGGGGAATAAGGAGGCTGCCTTGCATTCAGTGACCCCACAACACCAAAGAGCCATGCTCTCTGATTTCGCCATTTAACTACAAGTTGTAGCAAAATCCCCATTGCGGGCTGGGCGGTGACTCATGCCTGTAATCCCAGCACTTTGGGAGGCCGAGGCGGGTGGATCATTTGAGGTCAGGAGTTGGAGAGACCAGCATGGTGAGACCCCGTTTCTACTAAAAAATTCGCCCGGCGTGGTGGGGTGCCCCTGTAATCCCAGGTACTCGGGAGGCTGAGGTAGGAGAATCGCTTGAACCCAGGAGGTGGAGGCTGTAGTGATCCAAGATCGTGCTACTGCACTACAGCCTGAGAAACAGAGTGAGACTCCATCCGCCCCCATTACCTCCCACCCCCCACCAAAAAAAAAAAAAAAAAAAAACCCTATTACAAATAAAAGTTGTGATGCAGACTGCATACACCTCTCGGAAAAGAACCGGAACCGTGAATTCCAATGCAAATCGATGCATCGGCACGGGACCCACTGCACTGGACACATTTGCATCGCAGTCATCTGAGTAAGGAGCACATCACAGATAACCTCTGCAGGTTCCTTGCCCTGAGGCATGGCCCACATAGGAGGCATAGCTCAAATTTCAAAGGAACGAATACATGCTGGAGCCCAAAGAGGACTATCTGGTTCTATCTTGGCCTCCTGACAAGTAGGTAATGGAGTCACATTTTACAGACGAGGGACACCAAAACCACACGTGAGGAGTACAAGAGCGGCTTTATCACGGATCCGGGGCTGTGGTTACAAGGAAGCTGGAAGGAATAAAATGACTCCCATGAAGATGTACTGTGCAGATGAGTGGCAGGAAAAATTTGGCCATGACAGAGACACAGAAATACGTTAAGAAATGCGGGGCAGGATGAAATCATCTAGGGCGGGTAAGTTTAGAGGGAGGGAGCCGCCGCAAAATGAAAGCCTCACTATGAAACAAAGGTGGAGGCACGAGGCTGCGTTGGGTGGAAGAAGCGGAGGAAGGAGACGAAAGGGACTGTCATTTTCGTGTCGTGGCTTTTTGGAAGAGAGCCATGTCCTCTACTCCGGTTTCATGAAAATGTGTTGCTCTCCCTCTGCTACGGGGAAACAGGCGTTTGGGATGCCGGTAACGTTCAGTCAACGAGGTAATTCCTGTGGCGGCGGCAACGGGAATACCATAAAATGCAGAGGCCGGGACGGTATGTCTTTGTCTTTGTCTCCGCAGACGCAAACGTGGATGCGTGAGGTTTGGAAACAGGCAAAAAGTCAATTGGTTAACGGGATTGATGGGAATCCCCTCCCCGTCCGGGCAAACAGCCATCGGGTGAATGGGATGGGTCAGATGCCCTGTCCTGAGGGGGAGATGGTTTCTTGCAGAACGAGGTGAAGGAGGTGGTTCTGCTCAGCAGTCAACAGTGGCCACATCTCCACCTGCAGCGACTTGATGGCTTCCGTGTCCTTTTCGTGGGTAGCCATGACCAAAGACTGGAGCAGCAGAAAGAGCTCCTCGGGAAGCTGGCCGCTGCTCTCCTGCCCGTGGCTGTCAAAAGCCTCCCAGGAGTACTTCTCCAGGGTCTGGGCGTGCTCCGGCAGCAGCTTGGCGGGCGGTGGTTGCAGGAGGAGCAGCAGCAGAACGCGGGACACTTCGCAGCGGACCATTAGGTCCGAGAAGGCGCCCAGGGCGGCGGGAGAGGGCGCCACGGAGCCGGCGTTTGGAGCCAGCAGCGCGGCCGGTAGGGCGGGCGGCGCCCCGGGCCCGGGCGCGAGCCCGGACTGCGGCCCCGCCGGCGGGGGCGGCGGCAGCGGCTGCACCGGGTGGCTGCCGTGCTCCCGCGCCAGGCGCTGCATGCGCGTGAAGAGCGCCAGGGCGCCGGTGTAATCGCGCGCCAGCAGCTGGCAGGAGGCCGCCTCACCGAGCGCCTGCATCGCGGCCAGGGGCAGCTGGGGCAGCTGGAGCTGGGCGGCGCGCTGGAAGTGACCGGCGGCGGCGGCCGGCTGGCCCAGGTCGCGCAGGGCGGCGGCCAGCTCCAGGCAGAGGGCGGCGGCGGCGGCCGGCTGGCCCAGCTCGAGGTGCAGGCGCACCGCGGCGCCCAGGGCGCTGGCGGCGGCCTGCAGCGGCTCCCCGTAGGCGGCGGGGCAGACCAGGCGCTGGCGCGCGTCGCGCTCCTGCCGCAGGAAGAGGCGGGCGGCCTCGGTGAGAGCCAGCGCCTCCCCGGGCCCGTGGAAGAGCGCCTGCTGGCAGCGCGCCACCGCCAGCTGGCACCAGGCCGCATACGGCAGACACTCCTGGGAGCGC